AAAAAAAAAGGTGAACTAAGTTATATACAAATATAAAGATGTCCGAGGCTGGAGAGAACCTCAGAGCTGACTGACTGTACATCTCAATTTTATACTTAAGCAGTAGGCTCCCAAAGAACAATCTAAGGCAGGGCCAGAGCCAGGACTCTAGTTTCCAGACAACAAAGCTAATATACTTTCACTCCATCCTTTCACTAAGAATGAGTTTTCTAAGTCTGAGGCAGGACAGTATCTGTACGGCTTAAAGAAAGTAACAGCATTCTCATATTCCATAAAAGGGAAAAAAAATTAATCACGTTTTAAATCTGAGTCCAATTTGGTAAATTAAATTAAGGGTTCACTTGTGGGCTCCAACTTTGAAATTATTGGTTATCCTGAGATTTTTAAAAAATGAAACTCCCAACGTACCCCTCAAAATCTTTGTGATATAAAAACGAGGCAATATATCTGTATTTATGGTTTTATCACAAATACAAATGTCGTAATTTGTAACTGCTTTGATTTTTATAACAATGGATATGCTTCACTGAAACTAAGCTTTCTACATATTCAACTTATAAAAGCCAGTCCTATTTGAACTTACATTCAGAAGATGATTCCAATTCCTCATTACCCTTCAAGGATAGGCTGTCCACATTTGAAACTCCATCTCTGTCTTGAAGTTCAGTTTGTCTCCCATAAAGACTGGGTAGGAAGAATAAAATTCATGAGCCTGAAGCTGTAACAACGTAAAACCCAGGAGCGCAGGACAATGAAAAGCCTCTTGTGACTGGGGAAGCGCGTCAGAATGAGCGGTGCTCGCGAGGGTGAGCCCGCGCCGCCCTGGGCGCTCTCCCGCGCCAGGCACCCCGGGCCATCCAGACGCCAGCTCGCGCCCTCAGAGCCCCTGCACTGCGAGGCAGGCGCTGCCATGGTTAACGAGGAAGAGCACCGCCCTCTCATTGCTGTTCCTAGGACTTCATTTCTTCAAGAACCACAAAACATTTTTGAAAAAACCAAATTCTACACACAATCAGCTTGAGTCAGCTAAAGATGCAGAACAAGCCCCATGTGCATCCAAGTGCCCTAGCTCACCAAGTGGGTGTCCTGTCTCTCCTCTTGGTTTTACCACAAGAGAGCGATATAAAACACATATACATTACACACATTAGGACCACGATGGGCACATGTGGCAGTTGTCACCTCTGTACAGTGGGACTGAATCAATATGCAGACGGAAGTCCAGCCTGGAGCCCAGAACTAAGGAGTCAGAGTCTCCCACCATAAGGATCAGGCACAGGCAGGACTCCCACAGGTGACTCAGTCCCAGCCTGGGTGATGCGCCACCAAGCTTTACATAGGTCTACTCCACCCTGCTTCAGCGATCGGACCCTACAACCCACTACCACTTCACAACTTACCTCAATAGACAAATTTGAATTTTGTGTGCTTGGACTTAAATGCCAAAGTGTGAAACTACTTCAAGTTTAAAAATAAACTGAATTCATTTGCTTTTGCAGATTCTGTATGTTGCTTTTTGATCTTTATAAGCCTAGTCTATTCATGGAACTATGAAGATGCTTACTGCTACCGCAGTGCATAGTGTACACATCAGGTTTAGCAAACAAGGAGAAATTACGTAATTTGCTAAAGGAATTTTCCCCAGGTAATTCAGATGATTCTCGAAGATTACACATCATGTTACAATCTGACAGCAAATTCTACACTCCACGTGGTCTTGAGAATCACCTTAAAACCCCACACAAGTCAAGGCTGAGACCCCATGCAGCTAACGAGGCCTGGCTGGGGCTGACCAGAACATGGAACTTACCTGGCCTTCTGCTCCAGAGGGCTGGAGAATGAATGGGTGGAAAGGCGGTGCCGAGACTCAGTTGGTGAAGCCTGGAGCATTCTTTCAGGATAAGGACTGTGGGCAGCAATGTGGGATTGGCCTAGACCTAAGGGTCAGAAGGTATCAGGGCAAGAATATTACAAATTACACGGAGAAAAAAGCAACGTGGTTTTTAAGGAGTTCTATTAGTTTGAAAAGAAATTCTATTATTCTTGCAAACAGTTGAGTATGATGTATACATGACCCGTAGCATTAATGATTCAAGCACCTAAATGAAACTGCAGTGCTTACAATAAAATGTGTAAAATTAATCAGCAATAAGGGAAGAGCCATTGATCGTCACTGTCTGAACATGTCTGCCTGCCAAGCAAAGTGCTGGGACTTGCCACTCGATCCCACTGCCTTCCACACCAATGCCGTGCCACAGGGCAGACGCCGCCGGTAAGCAGGCAGCCACAGCCGCAGCGAGGAAGCACCTGCTCAGGCCAGGGCTTTCCCCGGGCCAGCTGAGCCTGCACTTTTTGCTCCTTCCCGCTGTCTAGGGCTCGCTCTAACTCAGATAAAGGTCCGCCGAGGACCACCCAAGCCCAGGGCACGCTGCAACCCTTTCTGCAGCAGCTTACCTTCCAGCTGTATTTCACCGTCAAGGCTTCGCTTAGCAAGGGGAGTGGAGGAGAGGCGTCTGGCAGGGTCTCTGCCGAGCCACGAGGCTGCGCTCCCCAGCACTTCTGCCACGTTGTCCGCCAGAGGCTGCCTGGGCACAGCTTCTTCCTCTGCAAAAATGCGTCTTTCGGAGGAACCTGAAATGATGTTCCTGAGAGGTCCTTGCAAGTGCAGGGGTGGCAGACTTTTGGATGCCAGTGGGCTTCTAGCGGTGGGGTACTGACTCACTCTCTGACGGTAATCTAGGAAAGCTTTCTCTAAGCATTCGGCCTCGTGCTCCAGCTCTTTCATTCTTGCCTTGGTGTTGGCTACAAACTCAAGGTCAGAATCGGGGGAGCTACCATCCGTGCTTGCATATGGATAATTTCTAATCCTTGGTACCGCTGTGTCTGCCATCAGCTTTTCCTTTTCAAGATTTTTCAAGAAATCCCCACTTATTTCACCACTAGGAAACACCTGGAACCCATTGGCAGAGCAACGTAACAGAGACGTCTTTGGGTTGCGGTACACTTCATTCTCTAGGGCTGTGGGTTACAAAGAGAGAATGTGACCAATGAGCGGAAATAAAATTCAAACATGCTTGAGAAGTTTTGAAAAATGGAAAGAGGTAGTCATAAGAACAAGTATGCACATTAAACAATTTCTGAAGCCATGGTAATACTATTAATTATTTATTGGCATTTACTGAGAGCTTTTATGTACCAGCTACAGCTTCACAGGTCTTTTAAGGTCTTCTTTCTTAATGCATAGTATTATTTCACGATCCACAATACACAATCTTGAAATCCAAAAAGTTCTTAGAACTGAAAATTTATAATTTATTTGGTCACAAAGCCTAAGCAGGCCTGAACTCACTTAGTTAATAAACTTGACCTAAACTGATGCAAACCCACGCATAGTCTTTCTTTACTCCACCCAGCACGGACAGTCATACACGTGACTGCAAACGTGGTTCACTGAAGGGTGCTGCCCCAGCACCCCCAGGGCCCAAGTTTCAGATACGGGAATGAGGACCTGCAGTCACAACAAGGCTAAGAGCTCTCCCTCCTCCCGCGTTCCAGCTGGAGGGCCGAGGCTGGGTCACACAGGCAGCCAGCTACACAGACACTGGGGCTCCCTAACGCAAAGCCAGGCCACGCACAGCCAGTCCAGGGGGCCGCTACTCTCCGGCAACGCATGTGTTTGAAAAGGTCCCATCCTCAAACTATTTTTCATCATTCGAGATCACCGATTTCAGTTGTGGGCAGTTTGGAAAACAGACTTGAGAGAAAATAATGAACAGGAAGGAGTAGAAATGAGTCAAGAGATAAAAACAAAACTAGTGCAGGAGAAGGGAACAAGAACTGAGGAAAGAGAGGAAAGAGTGCAAATGGGAACTGAGGAAGGCTCAGGGCCAGGAAGCGGGAAAAATCAGTTCAACTGCTAACACAGAAACTTCCTTTGAGCTGAAAAGCAGCGAAAGAAGGTGTCTAAGCTTCAGCACACTTATGAAGTCGGAAGGGGCAGATGCGCTTCCCCAGTGAAGAGGTGCAACAACACGATAGCAGTAACCTTTCCAAGTGTCCGATGGGTCCCAGGCACTCGGCTGGGACCCACCTCATTTCACCTTCTTCACCACAGCACTGCAGGTATTCGTCTCCCCATTACAAATGAGCAAACTGAGATCCAAGGTAGTTAAATGTGCCCAAGGTCAATCAACTGACTTCAAAATTGGGGTGCAAAAACAGAAACATTATATATAATCAACGTGATTTACGCTGTGACATAAGCCACCCTGCGTCTCCCATATGTTTACTCATCTATCAAGAGAGTCACACTGATATTACTGGGTAACAAATATAAAAGAAAAGCCTAGGCCCATGATGAATTTGGGGTATGAGGCTCTCCCAAACCATGGGGCACCTATAAAAAGCAAGTCACGGTAACTGACGACTTGGTTGGTATTCGTGAAATGGAGTACCAGGGACTTACCCTTCTAAGATGACATATTTCTATGGCTTTTCCCCTACTATGAGAATTACTAAAATTTCAGTGAATAACCATTGTATTTCCACATACGTCCTAAGCTTTACACATACACATACACATTTATAGGTTAAAAATGTCTCTAACCTGTCTGAGTTTGTTTCAGTTGCAATTTTAAATCAGCCACCTGCATACTTAACCTCTTTACAGAGGCATCATAATCTAATATCTGGGCCTTCAGCTTTGCAGAATGCTCAATCTGAAAAGATTTAGAGAAGGAAAAGAAATCAATGTAAAAGAAATCCCAATTCACCGCAAAAGGAACAAGTCTCTTATTGAGCTTTTTTTCTCTTTCTGTTTTGCCCGTTCTGAGCAGCTTTATGCCCGTAATCCACAGGTCCCGAGAAAACAACAAAGCACACAAAGTTTCCCACCTCCCTTTTCACTCATCTCAAAGAACAGCTACTGCAGGGCATAATGCAGACATCAGAGAGAGTGTCAATATTTCTAAGTCACAGGGCAAGAATCAAGGGACACTAATAGAGCCCAGCTGGTGTTGCTCAGTGGTTGAGTGTCCACCCACGAACCAGGAAGTCACTGGTTCAATTCCGAGTCAGGGCACATGCCCGAGTTGTGTGCTCGATCCCCAGTAGGGGGCATACAGGAGGCAGACAATCCATGTTTCTCTCTCATCATTGCTGTTTCTATCTCTATCCCTCTCCCTCCTTCTCTCTGAAGTCAATAAAAAAAAAATGTTTTTAAAAAAGAGACACTAATAGTGGGCACCATCAGAACTTGGACTATTTTGTGTTTACGAGGGTTTGCTTTCCTCTGGATTTTATTACTGTTATGAATATAATGTCATATCATCACTCAAAAATTTTCTCAGATGAGGATACCCTTAGCATATTGGGGAGTAATTTTTGATGTTAAAATCAATCTGATTTACGCTGGTGTGACGTATGCCAAGTTTACAAGCGTACAAAGTGGACTGGCCTGCCACCTGGCTGAGCAAAGAGCGGTACTCACTTCGTTCTGCAGCTGTTGGTGCAGAGCTTCCTTGTGGGTTTCAAACTCCTGATGCCCTAACACAATAGCAGTTTCTGCTTTCTTTAACTGTTTCTGAAAATTTATCAGTTCAGGAGATGGCTGAGCTATGCCTAAGAAGGAAAAAAAGCCTGGTGATTATCAACAGTAAGTTTTTTCATTTCACTTAGCAAAAGCAGCTAAGAGATGTAAAAATTTTCTTTCTTTTCTTTGTACACATGCAGTTATATCAATTCTATGAAATGGACTAAGAGCAATCCTGACACACAAATTTCAGAAGGCTGTAACACAAGCAAACACAAACTTCACTCCTCTCCCTAGTCCCACTCCAAGGAAGAAATTCTTTCAAATCCTCAAATGAAACCCCGCCGCTTTCCTCCACCACACACAGAAGGCATAGGAGGCCGGCATCAAAACCTGCTGATGACCACCCAGGGTCCAATCCAGTCTGTGCATATCAGCAGCACTCGGGGGCCAGGCAGAGCAGATGGGGTTCCCCCATTTCAGTCACTTGAGGACCCTCTAATAAAGGGCGACTCATGTAGGGTAGACACAAAGGATGGCGTAATCCCTGGACTAGGGTCATGCTCCTTGAGCCTAGAGGGTCAGAGAGGGAAGAAGTCCCAGAACCGGAGAATGAGCTGGCGCAGGTACAGAGCACTGGTGCGAGGCCATCCCACAAGCACTGGGATCTCACCCGGCTGAGAGGCGCAGGGCCAGCCTAGAGCACAGGGGGTCAGGAGGTGGTGGGAAGGGGATAACCGCCACCTCAGCCTCACTCTCATCCTCCTTCCCAGCACTGAGGGTGTCCCTGCTGGCCAAACCTGAGCAGCAGAGGGTGGGGAGACCGGTATAATCCAGAGAGGCAGGTTTGTACTGTAAAAATATTTCTTCTTAGTGACACTACTAATCATACAATAGCAAGTGAATGGAAGTAACTTCAAGAATCTTAATTTTGTAAAATTTTCCCAAATGAAGCCTCCCTTACAGGTACGAAGCCCAGTTTCGTCATATTAAGCTAATATCAATAACAAAGACCTGCCATCAGGAAAAAAAGACATACGGTTTAAGAGACGCAAGTTTTCATTTCTGCTTTCTTCCAGTTGTTGTTTAAGTAATTTATTTTGTGCCTGAAGCTCCAGTTTCTCTTGCTTTAGAAGTAAATAGTCACTCATCTCTCTTATCTTTTCATTCAGCAGGTGGTTCTGCCTTGTTATTGCCAAGGACTGGGCCTTGAGAGACTCGAGCTCCAGCTGGAATTGAGAAAGTAAAACCTGTATCTGAGCAGTGACTCCAAAGTACTGCTTACATATAAGGCTGGCAGGCTACTTTAAGCTGGGCCTCATGATGTAATTAAGGTCACTCGACAGAAGTCTCATTCTCTGCAGTAAGAAGAGCCTGACTGCAATAATGAAAGGCATCTTTTGCTCTGGAGTGGGGCAGGGGGAAGTTCGTCCAACTTTATACTTATGTAGAACCCTGTCCAACAAGCAAGTGTTCTCGATTAAGATTATCACCCCATTTTCCAGATGCAATGAAGCTCCCAATAGCAATCAGACTGTAGCAGTATGTTTTTAAATATGAAAAGGTGAGTGATCACAAACATGCTGGGGGTGTTTTCCTTTTCTTTGTACATCTCATATTTGCATACAAAAGCATATAAAGTTCTCAAATAAGTTTGCAAAAATACATTTTATACACAGGACATACTCAGGTACTGAAAGTTAGCACACATGAATGAACAGAAATAAAGCGAAAGTGGCATGTGAAAAACATATCTCATTTTGTTTTAACCTGCAAGATCCCTATGTAATGATAGAAATTTTTACCTACTGCTGATGGGAAGAGGCTGAAGTATAAACTAAAACATACTGGCCACCTGCTATGGGCTAGGCACATAAGTCAGCTCACTGAGGAACCTCAACAACCATGGGATGCGGGCAACACCCCAATGTTTAAGCAGAACTCCAGGCCCCAAAGGACGCACTCTTTCTATGCTTCCCTAGGAAACTAAGACTGAAAGGAAGTACTACTGAACTAATAATAATAATAATAACCCAAACACATCAAGAGGATAACAAGCTAAATTATGTATGCCTGAAGCTGAAAGTTCATACATTGCCTAACATCAATTTCAAAAAACAATAGGCTTAGCAATTACCTCAAGTTCTTTCACACGATTTGCAGAATGATAGAGTTCTTCCCTTTTTGAATTAACAGCTATGAGCTGCTCTTGCAAAAGTATAGCTTTTTCTGTAAGAGAGAGCAAACCAATTAAACATGTTTTTCTAGTGAATTCAAAACTCATTTAAGAAATTATGGCTGATATGTCAGACCTAATGACCATTATTTCATGATCTAAAATAGCAGGTATCAGAGTCAAAAATCAGTAGAAATAAACCCTGTTACCCAACAGGTGATGGGAACTTAGTCCTAACGGTCACATATGTGGTGAACTTCCTTCTGCTGCACATACCAACCAGTCACACCACGGCTCAGAGCTCTCATGCCAACAGGTCTGAATTTCCTCAAAGACAACAATTCGCCTTATGATTTTATAGTCGCTATTTTGTCATTTTCACTTCATCTAATATAAGTCTATGCAGGTATGTCATCAAAAAATAATGTGCTGACTTCATGATGGTACTAACTGCTGAAGAAGTATTAGTCTCCACAAGACAGTCACAGAGAGGCAGCCACACACTGGATGACCTTACAGGTCTCTATCAGGTACCCAGCCCTGGTTTACTCCCAAGAATCCCTTGGAAACTGCCACTAAAGTTCAACTTCTTGTCACAGGCAAGTTCCTAGAAATATAATGAAATGTAAAATCTGGAGATTGAACAATCATTCAACTTTCCTAATCCTCAGCTAATTATACTACAGTTAAGGGGGTTATATAGTAAGTAAAAATATCGTAAGGCACAAAAACATATTAGAAGTAAAAGAAATAAGAAACCAGGTCACAGGGAACAGAGAAGCTAAAATAAAATTTTCCGTAAGTAAAAAATGAAGTCTCTCATGGTAAAAACAAATAAATCAACAAATAACAAGTGCTGCCAAGGGTGTGGAGAAAAGGGAACCTCATGCACTGTTGGTGGGAGTGCAGACCGGTACAGCCACTGTGGAAAGCAGTGTGGAAGGGCCTCAAAAAACTAAAAATAGAGCTGCCATGTGCTCTAGCAATTCTACTTCTTAGCAGATATCCAAAAAAAGCAAAAACACTAATTTGAAAAGATATACATATGTATCCCTATGTCCACTGCAGCAAAGAAATGCAATCAACCTAGATGTCCATCAGCAGATAAACGGATAAAGAAGGTGTGTATATGTACACAATGGAGTATTACTCAGCCATAGAAAAGAACGAAATCTTGCCATCTGCAACAACACGGATGGACCTAGAGGGCATTATGGTAAGAGAAGTCAGTCCAGAGAAAGACAAATACTGCCTGATTTAACCTATACGTGGAATCTAAAAAAACAAAATACAAACCACAAATGAACAAACAAAACAAAAACAAACCCATAAATATAGATAACAAGCTGATGGTTGCCAAAGGGAGGGAGGCAGATGGGTAGAAAAAATTCCTGAATACCCTACTTCCTCTCAGTTAAGGGTCATTTTTTACATATAACTTTTCTTACTTAAAAAATACATATAGCCCTGGTTGGTGTAGCTCAGTTGGTTGAGCGTTGTGTCGTCCTGTGCACCAAGAGGTCACAGTTCGATTCCCGGTCAGGTCACATGCCCAGGTTGTGGGCTCAATCTTAGCAGGGGGTGTCCAGAAGGCAGCCGACTAATGTTTCTTTCCCTCGCTCTCTCTCTCTCTCTCTAAAGTTAATAAAAACATATTTTTTAAAATATAAAGTAAAAAGTATATATAAAGTTGGATAAAATCCTACCAATTAGCGACCTTTGTGAATGTACAAAAGGTTAAACATGAAGGTTTGCAAAAATGTAGTGAAAGACAATGATTATTTCTTAAATTTTGTGAAATTAAAAGGACAAAACAATGTGTAATTTTGTATTAACAATGAATCACCTTTATTCTTCCTTTCTTCTTCAACCAGCCTGTTAGTTCTGGCAATGTAGTCGTCCTTTAGCTCAAGTTGAAACCTGAGGATCAGAATGACTAAAATGAGTTTCTTTTCACCTTTCTGGACAGATCGCTATCAATATGTGGGCGTATCTGTGGCACTCGGGCACCTAAGGGCACTGAACAGGGCCATGCATAACTTCAAGGTCTCTCAGTACTAAGGCCAGAGATCCAAATTCTGAATATACAAGGTCCAGTAAAAGCCTGCTGCACTCCAGTAAACTGGGTCCCCAAATCTCAAGTTACTGTGAGGTTACAGAGAACCATTATTCCACAGTGGTCTGGACTGACACAAAAAGTAAATTAAGTTAAATTTATACTGTATGCAACTGACTCTGAATCCCAAAAGATAAGTCAGTCACATCCAATCTACCTGCCTTGCCACCCCGCCTCCCCCCACTCCCTATCAGGGGCTGAGCACAGTATTAAGAGCCAACTGCCAACACCTTCATACCTGGGTTAGCAATACCAAAAGGCACACTTTCAAGCAGTTTTACTTATCTCCACCAACTGCTACTAGCAGACGTTTCGGTTCAGAGATGGGAGAAAGGAAAGAGAAGCACTCCTGTGGTGAATATCCTGCGAACTCCAACACTTCCCAAAGTCAGAGAGGATACCCAAGGCAGACAAATAACACCAGACAGTTCACGATCTCCGTGGTGATGGAAAGTTAACATACACACTTATTCACTTATTCCTAAAAGTTTAACAACTATAGATGCATCAGTGTCTGCTACTATACTCAAGGAGCTGGCATAAAATATGTAGGGATAACACCCATCATTTCAAAATCGATACGTGGAAAGGTACTGTATCTCTTTTTTATTAGAATTCTTTTAAATAAGCTCAAGAAACTTTTCCAAGTACTATGCAATGGAATATCAATGACAAATTATGGGCAAGGCAGTAAAAAGAGGCCAATGATTAAGAAATACCAGAGCAGCTCAGTTGAGTCATCTCTTCATCAAGAATTCATTTACTCAATGAATACTAACTGAACATTTATTATGTGCCAGACACTACACTGAGCACTAGAGAGAAAAATTACCATACTGGTTAACTGTCTTTGCACTAAGATACTAGTCAATGTAACACAATAAAAGTCAACTATAGTAAAGCCATGGTAACCACAGTTATCCATACTTTCCCTTCCCTGTATCATTTTTTCTTCATCAATAGTTAATTTCAGTTTTTTTTCTTTTCATTCTGGCTTTGCAGAATCTTGAAGGAATACAAGACACATGTCCACTGACAAATACTATAACCGCTACGTAGAATAATTTATAAATTGTTAGCCACCCCCATCTTAGGGGCAGTATGAGTGGGGTAGAAGAAAAGAGATACTAAGTGATTATAATTCCGCTTTTATAGCTTATCAGCAGTGCAAACTGAGCAAGTCACAAGGTGCCCTAAAAATTAAAGCAAATCGCAGGTCCCTCAGTACCTGTTAGAGAAGCTACGGGTAAGAACAAGCAGAGGATGCTATTCTCTGTACTGTATCCTTTTAAAATCATCTTAACTCAAATACTCATGGGAAAGGCTTGACTGTCAGTGAAAACATGTATTTTTTAAACACTAACTTTCACCGTAAAATGTTAGCCTAATCTACTTCACTAGTGTTGCCATGTTTCTAACAACTTAATTCAAACATACTACTTCTTTTAAGAATGCCAAACAATTACTTTAGAATTTCACTCTTGAGCTTCTGGTCATAGGTCTCCTCCATGCTCTTTATATTCAGCTCCCGTCTCCTAAGTGCATCAGCCATGCTTTTATTTTTCTCTTGCTGTAGCCTCTGAGCCCTGAAATTAGCAAAAATATAAAAAGCAAATAAAAAAACTAATATCTCAAGTAAAGATTTTAAGACAGAAAAATAACGTGCTGTTAGCTCCACAGACTAAAACTGCGATGTGACTGTCACCACTGGGAAATAAACAAGAAGAGCCAGAAGTCCTCCTTCTATTTTATGAACTGACCGAGTTATGAGGGATCTGAAGTAGCCGATAGAGCTATAAGGTGGCACCAGGCTGGAGGGAGTGCGAAAGTGTTGAGCCAAGGTGCTTTTTCACAGCAGATGATTCAGTTACAAAACGGTTACAGGTGATAAATGGCCATAATCAATTCAGAGGTGAAAGAATAATGTTATTAAGTAAGAGCTACAAACCAAATTTGTTAGTGTACTTCAGTGCTTGTTTCTTCTGTAAGATTTTTTCTGTGAGATTTAACTGATTAGCCCACAGGTATTAAAGAGAGAACATTTATTTTTGGCATTTAATAATCTAGTGATTGAAAACTGAAAAGGGTGCCGAACGAGAGAGCAAAAGATAGAGGGATCAATCAGAATTTCCAAATACTGAAGAACGGAATGGTGTTCAAGTGGGGCCTTCAGTCAACCCTAAATCCATCCCCGAGCCAGGGAATCGGGTCCTCAGATCAGGCCGTGAGCAGCCCAGGGAACCGAGGGCTCCGCGCGAAGGCGAAAGCCTATGTGCTCGCCCCCCGCGGGCTAACCCGGGAAGCGAAGGGGCGTGAACTGCATGTGAAGCGAGGAGGGGCTGGGGGGCGGGGAATGTAAAGTGAGCACATGACCACGAGCTATCTCCCAAATTTGGTCCCTTTCCTTTCCTCTCGGATTAACTTACCACTTCTCTACTGCCAAAAGGAGAGTAAGGTAGGGAGAGAGAAGAAATCAAATGAGCTGAGCCTATACAAATGAGAGAAGCTCCTTAATGAAGGGACAAATCCTTTAATGAATAAGAGTACCTGTGAGTTTCAACTAACAGCAGACCCTAACTGGGAAGAAAGCTTACTGCATACGCTAGACTGGTGAGCTTGCTATTAATCGCAGGTAAGATGTGAAGAATGAAACGTTGGTGAGCACTCAGGAGAAGCACACACACATCACAGGCCGCCTCACCCAGTACAAGTCCCGTCAGAGCCACCGCAGGTCCTCCCACAGCAGAGCAGGGAGACGTGTCTGCAATTCGGTTACTACATGCACACGCCACCGTTACATCCGAATGACTGAACGTGAGCGCGCAACATCATCTGTTAAAGCAGCGTCAGCTTCTTCAAAGCACTGGCCGGGTTTTACTGCAGCCCGGTGATGGTATCTCACTCGGCTGTTCACCCCAATGTCTACTATTTCAAAAGCAAAATCCTAGTCTCCGTTTCTCTTTACTTGTGCCTTTTAAAACTCGGTGATGGCACCTTTACAACCAAGAACCCTACTTGGGGATTAGCATTAGAATACTTAGACATGTTTAGTTTTTAATCTCACAGGCTCTGAATATCCAAAATGAAAACTTACTACTTACATATCAAAAGCTTCAATTCTTTGCTTCAGCTCTTCTTCTCTGCCTCTTACCAAATCGATATCCTTCAGTAGAAGCTGCCTTTGAGTATAAATTTCTTTTGTTTCCATCTGTACAGGAAAGCATTAATTTTTAGCAAGTTAAAGAAAATAAAACAGATTTGAACTAATGGACTGCTTCCTAAATTCCAGAGAATAATCCAAGTACAGACATTTAGAGTAACAATTTCACTCTCAAAAGGTTCCACCTTGAGGTATGCATTTTGCCTGTTCTAGTTACACAAAAATTTACTCCCTCCCCCAATGACTGTTAAAGCTACATTACCCTATATTCCTAACATCCCTTGTGTAATTATTCTACTTAATTAACATCTCTCAGACACTTAAATTTTTGGTAAGTTCTTCAGCAAAAAACCACAAAAACAAAACGTACATTCAGCAGTAAGACTTAACAAAATAGAATTCCCATGGGTCAGTGGTTGTTTGAGTCATAGGTCATTCTGACTCGGCTTTAGAAAGCTCGTATGAAGCCCTGGATGAACAGGCCACACTTCCATTTGTGTGTTCACTGAGCAAGGATTTACTGAGTATCCTGTCAGAAAGCACACTGGGGGCTGGATATGAAAAGATGAAGATACAGTACCCGTCTTTTAAACAATTCAATTTACTGAGGGAGAAACAATCATGCTACAGTGTGATGATTTCACAACCAGAGTCCAGTCTCCCCGGCAAGAATGAATCTAGTCTATCAGTGGCAGTCGGGGAAGATGTCACCTCGAGGAGACATTCAAGTTGGAGTTTGAAGGACAGGACAGTTTTATCAGGGAGAGGAGGAGGAGGACATTCTGGGTGGTGGTGTAAAGGCATGGTGCCTTTTATGAGAATGGCAACCTTCTCTGAAGGTTTCCCAGAATCTGTTGACTAAATGGGGACTTGCGCTGTTAACTGGTGGATCTGATATAGTTAGTCACCTATCTTAAAGATAAAAGTGTTAGTCTGAACACAATTCAACCATCTCAAAAACCAGTGCTTTCAACATTTATTTTTATAGCTAAAATAAGCCCAATTCCCAGAAACACTACACAAAATCGTAGAGGGGGTGCAATTACCACTAATAACTGGGTCTCACTGAGAAGCTCTAAGCAAGGGTTGACGCCGAGAGGAAGCCTCTTACTTCCACCATCTCCTGGCATCAGTAGCTCTGGCTGGACATAGAAACCCATGCCCCAAATCCAGTCTGGTCTGACATCCCCTGGGGAAAGGAACCCGTTTTTCCTAAAGGAGTAGATCCAAATCCTCCTGCTGACACGCACTCCCTGCCACTCAACCTGTCCCACCTCCTGACCAGTCACTTTCCTGGGTGACAAGGTCAAATGGCCACATGGATGGTGCTTGCAGCCCTGGACTCCTCTGCTCCAGGGAGCTTCGCCTTTGCTCTGATGGAAGCACACTGCCTTTGGTTTCCTGCTTCACCCGCAACTCCGCCCTCTTGGTCCACCCTTACCCTTCCACCTGTCAGCATCCCCGCCCCTATCCCTTGAGGTCTCTGAGACTGTCATGTGACTCTCTCCTACCCTAGGGTAGTGGCATCCACCCTCCGCTCTGGTTCCCTTTACCATCGTGCTGAACCCCAATGTCTTCAACTAACCAGGCTGCCTTTCTCAAGTCAAATTAATTCAGCTCTCAACCACCATCTTTCTGCCCTCACTGACCTGCCAAAACCTCCCAAGAGCTGCAACAGAACGACCGCCTGCAAGCACTTGCTTTGGTCTGCTTCAGTTCCAGGTTGCCCACCTCAGCAGGGCCGCCGCGCAGCTCGAGCAGTCCCGCCCGCCTCGGAGGGCTGCTCTGCTCCTCCTCACCTCCAGCAGCCACTCCACACCTCTGGCTGTCTCCTCCACATCGCTACCTAGCCCTCACCTCAGCCGCTCCGCAGTGCGAGTGCTTACGCCCCCGACGCGAACCTTCACACCCACTTTCCTTCCAGCAGTCTCGGAAAAAGAAGTCTGGGCATCCTTTTGAAGGCCAATTCCTCCACTTGCGTTCTTGAACGCAGTCCCTACTGCTCCTCTAGGGCCTGAACCATTGATTGTTCCAGCAAATGCCCCACCTTGCTCCTGGGCTTTGAGCCAATCGACTAACAGGTGCAGGAAAGAGCTACCCAGTAAATGATTTTAAAATATTACCTCCTGGTGCTTTTGAATTCTCTCAAGGGACATCTTTTCCCGAGAAAGGAGGGCTTCAGATTTTGCTTGACAAGTTCTCTCAACATCATTCCAGAACTTCGCCAATTCCTTCTCAGACTTTCTTTTTTCTTCCATTTTAATTTTTACTATTTCAGTATTTTTAAAATGCTTCAACTGCCAATTGAGCACAAATAATTGTAAATACCAATAATGATACTAAAAAAAACAGTAACAAATTCTCCATGGTTAGGTTTAACATTCATGCTCTAAATATATTTAGTTTAATTCATCTTTAGTTTCATCTCATTCATTGTACCTGTCAGGATTCATTCAAAAAGGAAAAAGAAATGACATCAAGGGGAAAGAAAAATAATATGCACAACAGTATAGCATCACATTCATTAATAAAGATCCTAGATATTTTCCTATATACCTAAAATTAAGAATGAAAATATAAGCAAAAATGTCACTTTTGTTAACAGCAACAAGATAAACTTACCCTTTCATGCATTTCTGCTTGAAGCTGCTGTTCTATTTCCCTCTTATATTCATTTAACTTCATTTCTAAAGAGTCTAACTTTGGATGCTGAGGGTAAGCACCCGCAAACTGATCGTCAATATGTTGAAACTTCTCAGCTATTAAAACAAACACAGGAAATTAGGGTAAAGGAATGTGGTCAGGTGAGCAAGAGGCCAGAAGTCTGTTCAAAAGCAAAGAGTACAAGTAGGGGAGTGTGCAGGAATGTCTGCAGTCTACTCTGAAATAATTCAAAAAATTTAGATTACTGGATGGACGGAAAGTGATCAAGCAAGTATAATACAAATTTAATGGTGAACAGTAAAACTTTCAACTTTTTTGTATGTTTGAAAATTTTCATAAGATGTCAGGGAAAAAGAAAGCAGTTTAAGCCAGAAAACACTGGTATCTCCTTCTAGTCTCTAAGTGCCAAAGCAGAGAGTTCTTTGATCAGTCTTTGGTGAAAATCGAGACACGTGTTCAAAACACTGACCTTAAAATGAATTAAAGATCATGAGTTTCAAGTCTTCCATTTTACAGAGGACACAGATGCCCACACAGTGTCAGAGGGCTAAGCAACTACATACTGGTGTAACTAGGATGAAAGGCAGGTCTACTGATGGTCTCTCATTCCAGCGCTCTCTCCAGCAGACCCATGGCCCTCACACCAAATGGGGAACAGAACCAACCACATGGCAGAGTGCAGACCCACAGCGAGAGCACTGTCTCGATCATGTAAACACCAGTGCCCACAAACAAGTATGCGTAGGGAAAAAAGGCTGGCACAAGTAGACTAAGATTCTTGGACTTACTGTCTAACAAGTTACAGGCACTGCTGCTCCTTAAGAGTAAGGAGGGGACAGGATTAATCACAGCATTTTAGCCAGCCGTTTCCCTTCTCTCCTGAGCATACAACTAAAGGGCAGGACGGTATTGTAGAAAGGTTGTACCGAGGCGCAAAAGGCTCTGGATCATGGACCAGAAAACTTGGACTCTAGTATCAGTTCTGACCCAGACTGGGTGTCTCCAAGTTGCTTTTCCTTCCTCTGGAGACCTCGGTTTCCTCAACTATAAAATGAAGTGATGGGCCACTGACTTCTCTAGTTCTCTGCAATACAAATAGTCTAGATCTTCTCATTGTTAGTGGCCATAAAATAAAGTTAGATGAGACACAGGGAAGAGCCTCCCAGTTGAGAGGTTCAACCCAGCAAACAAGAACGTGGGCCTCTGCATCCCCTCGAGTTTTAGAAAGGGTCACCCTGGTGGTCACAGAGGGAAGGGCAGTACTGACGACAGAGTCTGGTCCCTTCCAGGAATGAGCACCCCGCCTGCAGCTTACATCCCTCCCAGTCTAGGAACACACACAACATGGGAAGTCGGGTCATTTCCTTCATTCAAAGAGAAAACAGAAAACTTGAAGTTATGAAAAAAGCCTGCAATTACCAAGAGAGTCTTTGCTAGGAAACATCGGACTTGTCTGAGTGTCCATGTCACAAGTCTCTTTTGCCTGATGATATTGTGCCATTTCTTTTAAAAACTCCACGAGAAAACCTAAAAAACACAATGTACATAGTTTCGTCTCACAACACCTTTCATTCAACCATTGCTCAGTCACTGTTTATCGATTTGGAGTCTGGAGTTTATAACATTATCCTTTTTTATATTACGTATTTTTTAAATATCTTTATTGATTTCAGAAAGAGGAAGGGAGAGGGAGAGAGAGACTGAAACATCAACGATGAGTCACTGATCGGCTGCCTCCTGCACACCCTGACTGGGGATGGAGCCCGCAACCCGGGCATGTGCCCTGACCGGGAATCGAACGCATCTCCTGGATCCTAGGTCGACGCTCAACTGCTGAGCCACACCGGCCAGGCTATTATGTATCTTTTAAGAATAATTTCTGAGGGAAGTCCTTCCTGAGTATGGCACAAAAATCCAGAATAAAGAGAAATATTTAACAAGATAAAAAATTAAGAACTTATATATGGCATGAAATAAAGTCAAAAGACAAACCATACGCTGGAAAAAAATAGTTGCTATAATATGGAGACAGAGCACTAATTTTTATAATACCAAAGAACTCTTATGAATCAGCAAGAAAATTCTAAAAGAGCATGGACAAAGAGTTTATAGAAAAAATTTTAATGTCTAATAAACATGAACAAAATCATAAATAAATGTAAATTAATACAACAAGAGAGAGATCCTATTTTCCCTAGAACATTGCTAAGATTAAAACTCTGACCATACTTGAAGTTTTTTTAATCCTTGCCCAAGGATATTTTTTCCCCTTGCTCTTTAGAGAGTAGAAGAGAAAGAGAAACATTGATGCGAGAGACACATCGATTGGTTGCCTCCTGCACGTGCCCCAACCCAGGTACGTGCCCTCGACCGGAATCGAACCCGAGACCCTTCAGTCCTCAGGCCGACACACTAACCACTGAGCCAAACCGGCCAGGGCCACACTTGAAGTTTTGACTTCAAGTGGGGAAACCAGCAGGTTCGATCACTTGGGAGGGAAATCTGTCAGTGTTTGTGTGTATTCGAAATGCACATGCCCTTCAGTCAGTCCACCTCCGGGAATTCACGCAGCTACACTTCCACAGGGACACCAAGGGTGGACACCGGCAAAGCCAGACGATGACGAAACCGCCATCAATAGGTAGGTAATTAACTGAGGGGGGATATCAGGATATAGATACTTGGCCTAAACGTTAGTTTGTTCTCTTTTGTGTGTGGAAATGTTCCAAACATTGGGTAGCTTTACAAAGAGACTCTTTCAATCCAGTTGTAGGGCTACTGATCCTATCTACAATTTTCTTATTTGAGTATCTAAGAGCTATTAAAAAGATTGAAGTTTGGAGAAAATTATCTACATTTGTCAAAACAACAAATGATTTGTTGTTTATTTAAAAGGTCAGGTACTGTCAGCAAAAAAATCATAATTAAATTCAAATTAGATTCCTTATTCTTCCCCCTAAAAATTACTAGTTTCATACTTTTATAGGAAAAACGTATGACAAAAATGTTACTATTTCTCTATAAAGATGAAAGCTCCTACCTTTTTTGTTTTCTTTATCAAATCCTGAAACCTGTTAAAAGAAAATATTTGACTTTTATTCAACTATTCAGGTATAATTAACAAACCAAAGGAAGTTATAAAATCTAAATAATCCTACCAGTGATTTGTAGAGACTGGATTCCGGCTTAATTTTAATGAGTTGTAATAGATCTTGCATAGTAAATACCTTCAGAAAAAAAGATTAAGTAGACATTTTTACATCAATGTTTAAATGATAAATTAGGATGTTTCTGAATATAAGACTAAGAACCATCTTCAGATTAAATAAAAAGATTTTAACTGTGCTAATAATATAAAATTGAAGCTGTTCCTTATACTATTAAATTACAATAAACATACTGAGATCAAGTGGATAAAATCTTTTTTTGATCATGTAATTAACCTCCAAATACTTCACAATGAAGATGATATGCCTAACAGAAACCACAGAAATGGTTAGTGCTTTGCAGATGACAAACTCAAATATCTGATGAACCAATGAATACATGAGTCACGAGTGAATTCCAGGGTCTTTCAACTGCAACAATTTTTTTTTTTTTTTAAGTATTCTTGCTTCGAAATGTAAATAAACGCAATTTTTACTGTCTTTACAACTATGAATGACTAAAGTATACTGAAAATAGGTTTAAACAACCATTTTGGGTAGCTATTCTTAATATATATTCCCAGTACAGTATGTAGTATCCTTTACTATATCTACCCTGAGAACAGTGATATGATTTATTTTCTATTGGTTTTCCTTTAAAGAAAATATTCTGCACGGCATTTTATAGTAGTAAAAACCTTTAATTATATGAAATAGATTAATTACTGCTCTAATCACTATGTAATTGAGTATTGCTCATGCAATAAACAAAATTGTGAAATGTAATTACAAACTTAGAGACTGATGGACCAAAAAAGAATTCCTAATGTTGATAAATAAAATCTGGTTGTTAATGAATAAATACAGCACATTTAAATTTTAAGGTTTTCAAATACTAACACTATTCATGATTTCTTAAAACTTCTGAATATGAAACTTTTAGACAATGACATATAAGACAGTAAGATAAACGTAAGGACAACACAAAGGGCATCCTAAGGTCAGCTACGGATTTCCGGTAATAATGGTGCCCCAAGGCAGGCTCACCGATTATATAATGTTGGTAATGGGGGAGGCTGTGCACATGTGGGGGAGGGAGAAGATAAGAAGGCTCCCCTTCTGCTCAATTTTGCTGTGAACCTGAACTGCTCTAAAAAAATTAAGTCTATTTTAAAAATATAGGGAAAATTCGATATATCTGCCTTTAAAATAATGAAGTGTGTGACTCATATATTCAATGGTAACAGTGGAGGAATATAGTTAAAACAATTAGAAAAGTGATAAACCATGTTTTAATATTTGAGACCACCACAGACTTTTAAAAAATTAATCTATTCCTCACTTCTCTTATATAATCACAAAGAGAAATATCTAGAGACAGAGGTAAAAATAAAGAGAGCACATTTTAGAGATTTAGATTTACTGCCCCGTGTTGCCACCCCAGAATCCCGTGATCCTGAGCAAATCACCCACCTCTCCAGACTCTGGTTCCTCACCTGGGACACATAGACACCTGCAGTGCGACTAGCCCAGTGTTGAGCTCACAACAGCAGTCAACAAAAACAGCAGTTAGGAGTCTTACTTAGACAACTACATGGAATATAAGAACAACTCTAGCTCCAGAGTGTTTTGTGATTCTGCACCTCACAATTTAACAAACCCCCAACGCGGGAGCCGACATATGAAACTAAGTACTCCTTAGTTGCATTATGTAACAACTCTACGGCGTGGCTTGCAGATGACTGAGAACGGGCCAAGCCAGCCAAGGAGCACTCGGCTACTACGCAGCACTTAACCATTATCTGAGAAGAGGCCGCGAACAGAAAATTCAGGAACGGGGAGGGAAACTTTACCTTTTCTTCTGCCAAGCCACTCTCTGGAAAGAACACCGAAAGTGAATACTCATAGCCACATCTTTGCAAGTGATCCGCCACCAGGGAGTTGGAAGCGCCTATCAAGAGGGCGCTCCCTTCCACCGGGATGGACGCGGGCTGCATGTCTCCGCTCAGTACCGGGTGCATCAACTCGTGGATGAGATTCTTTCTCAGCTGTGTCTGCTCAAAGACAAAGAGGGAAGAAACACGAGGGAGCCGACTTTCAGCAGGATTACTGCACGGGACATACACAGATGTGCCACGTGAATTAGAACCCTTCCTTTGATTTCCACAGTGGTTCTAGGTCCATGGCCAGAAGTCAGACCATCTCTGTTGCACACTGTCTTAACCTGTGAGACGAGCAGGCCATGGGTACCGGCCAAAGCAGCCGGCTTCAACCAGCTGCCAAGTGAAGTGGTAGTTAGCTACAACACATGTAGACTACGAGCCCATGTCAGCAGCTTTTGATTGGGATAGCAAATATAAGAGAAAATTCTGCTGCTTTCTCAACTCTCTGTGGATTGTGGGAGGATATGAAACAATATTGGGTGAAACCAGTTTATTGAGTATACTGATCAAAATAAAATTGGGTTCCCCAAAAGGAAATAACATATGCAAGAGAGCAATCTCCAAGAAGGCTTATTAAGATGCACTTTCATATATAGTATTTACATCTCAAGACATTTTATAAATAAGGAAATTCAGGTTCAAGGTGGGTAATTTTTTCAAGGTTATAACTAGTATTATTCCTTTGGATTTTAAGAAAATCTCTAAATTAACTGAACTACTAGATATTTGTTCTAATCTATTTTGCATATAATCTGGAAACATATAATTGGGCTGAGCTTAAGAGTACGTTGCCTATATCCATGGGGTTCAACACTAAATAATATCTAATATATTCATATCAATAGAATACAAGCAAGAAACAAATGGAGTTGCTATACCTCTATCTTCTATCCTTCAGCTAGAGAGAACAGTTTATAACTACCAGTATAGAACAGGACTTACACATAGAAAGTCCTATAGTACCAAAGACATTTACACTGAGCAGAATATACATGCTCTGCCTCCTCTAATAGAGTTCAGTAACAGCAATAATAAAACAAGAAAAAAGAAACTACAGCATTCACCAATAAAATTCAGAGGTGGTTTAATAAGACTTGTAACATACTAGAGAAGTAATATATTTAGGTCCAGCTTAATTGACAAAAGTGACTCAGAGTATCTTGCAAACAAGTACTGAAATAAGATAAAATTTAAATGAGTGATATGAGCAGGGTAAAAGGAAAATGAGTATAAAAAAATGAAATGACATTATAGATGAATTTCCATCTTGGCAAATACAAAAAGCATGCCATCTAGCACTTGCCAGAAGAAATGGCAAGACTGGCTGGGGCCTTTCCAGCAGCCAATGCAAAGAGGAAAATACACTCGGAATTAAACCTTGCAATGTCCCTAAGGTAAAAATAAGTACAATTATTGTGGGGAGAGGGGAAGTGGGAGAGAAGAGACTTAGGGACCCTCAGCACATCTCTTAGAAATTGACAGATTAAGTGGACTCAAAATATGAAAAAGATTTGGTAAACTTCATTTAACAGGTATCTATGACTTTGTACTTAACCATAAATACAAATTCTTTTCGAACATCCAAATAGAATATGAGTTAGGCCATTCAAAAATTCGAGAAATTTTAAAAATTAGAACGCACCCAGACCAGTCATTGAACTGAGAAAATAAAAATTAGCTCAGACTGAAAGAGTGAAACTCTGTCCTGCCATTGATCAAGCTGGAATTCCAGAAACAACAGCTGCAAACAGGAAACATTTCTCCCAAGGATATATTGCACCTATACAGCCAACAAGGCCAGCATAATCCCCACACCAAAGCCAAGAAAGAGAGCTCAAAAAGGATTAGTCAATGTCAATTGTGACTACAGATAGGATGAGAAACACTATCAAATCTAATCCAGAAACACAGAAAAAGAAAATATGCCATACCCAGAAATACAATGGCCACCCCACATTAGAAGCTGTATTAATGCATTATACCCTACAATTAACTCCAGGTGGGTTACAGCGTTAACTATAAAAAGGGAAATCTTTTGAAAAACTTAAAAAGTGACTATTCATGCTACTGGTGGAGAAAAATTCACTGAGAATAATCAGCAAAAAAAAAAAAAAAAAAAAAAAAGA